TGTGTGTGTGTGCGTGCGTGTGTGTGTGTGTGTAGAGGAGGAGGGGAGGCTGTAGCTCTAAAAAGATTCTGCAATGCAAATGAAGGTAGAAGCTTTAAGCTGAGGCTGCGTTTGGGCTTCATCAGGAAAAACTCCCCAAAGACGAATCGCTGTGAACACAAAACAGGATTATTTGAAGAATCCACCCAGGATCCTGTGTCCCGGAGTCCCTGAACAAATATTTTCTTCATTTATTGTTTATGGAGGACACTGACAGTAAATCTGCTCCAGACAGTCAGCAGCAGGAATCAGCCCCAACCAGCTACTGACCTACATTTACCCCCCACCACCACCCTTGGTTATTCTGTTGGGTGGAGGGGCAGTCTGGGAAGCAGGAGTGGCCTTGATGAAGCCTGTCACTCAGCCACCCTCCCCCCCGTCCTCCCCCTGGATCCCAGGGAGCGGCAGTGCGGTCCTATCAGGACTACTGTGCTGCAGCACTACATTAGCTCCAGTGTGGTCGTTGCATACTTTGGTGTGACTGTCCAACACAATAGGTTTATAAAAACCTTAAAGTGGAGGACTTTTGAAAATGAGCACAGGGCCGCTCGTCTGCTGACGCCTGCTCTGCATTAAATCCATCAGTGACTGTGGGTGTGAACAAAGACGAGAGCACCGCCCGTCAAAGCTCCATCACAGACAGCCGCTGCATGAAGGCAGAGAGAGGCAGCACTGATGCTGTTGTACCGTCTGCACTTTGTGTTTTTATTGCTGTGCCATCTCATCATTTGCATTTTGGAAGCCTCGCAGGAAGCTGCGTGTCTGTGTCGTCTCTCTGAACTGTGGTCGCTGCCTGGATGCATCTCGCTGTCACATCTATGTATCTGACCGCCACACCGAAGTCAGAGGACTCAGCATCCTCCACGTCGTTGATTCTGCCGTCATAAAGATGCACGCGCTCAGTGAAGCCAGATGGAAAAGTTTTTCAACCGCATTGAGCTGCTCTGTTTGCAGTTTGTCCAAACTGCAAACAGACGAGCTATCAGGATAACAACACGACGAGCGTGTTCTCTTAGTCCTCGCTGAATATTCAGAGGCTCTGTGTAAGAAGTGATTTGCAGCCGATCTCATGCTGACAGAGTTCAGCCTCAGTCTGAGTGAGAAATCCTTTCAGCGTTTCTTCGTTGCCCACATTTAGCATCAGCTGTCCAACTGCACGTTTCTCTGATCGTGATATTAGTACGTGTCACAGAGCACTGAGAGAGGCTGCTGTGGGATACAGCCATTAATCCTCCCAGATTTCAGGGGTTTTTCTGATCAGGCGTCTTTTATTATTGACGTATCCCTGGATCATTAAATGAGTAAATAAAATATAGAAATATTAATAGAATTAATGCAATTTTAAAATTTGTTGTTATATTAGTTTATTGTGTAATAAAACAAATCTTTAGAGTGATTTAAAAGGACTCTTTTAAAAGCATTTCAGGACCGTGTGCGCTGCTTTTATCCCCGTGCTCGGTGCTCGGCGTCGGGCAGGTTGGACGAGCTGTTAGTCGATCTGTTGAGGAAGCTTTAGGCTGCAGCAGCAGAGGCCGAGCAGTCAGCCCCCTCTGATCCTGCAATGTGAGGAGGTAAAATAACCACGTTTCAGTCCATATGTTCCAGCTTATCAGAAGATTGGTGGTAACTGGAAACCAAGCCTCAATAACCAGGTCAAAGGGCCAAACTGGGAGTCATGTAGATGCTGGTCATAAATCCTGATCAGAGGAAAACATCCCGACTCTTGTTTGTGTATCTGCTGCTTCGCTGTATGTATTTACATTCAGTCATTGAGTGCACGCACACCCTGAGCTTCAGCCTGCCAACATTAGCAGGAGTAATAAGTAGTACGTGAGTCAGAGGAGCATCTAATGTTCCTGCGGCCTCGAGATTATCATTAAAGACAGACGAGGTGGGAAAAACGTAAACAAGACGAGTCGGCTGTGAGAAGAGTTGATCAGGACTCTGAGGCTGACTTTAGTCTGTTATTGCTGCACTTAGACTCACATTGAAATCGGACTCACTTGGATTAGCCTCAATTATTTTCAATTAATCTCTGCAGTCAGGGCGGGATGATTGGATTCCTGCCTGCTGTGGTAGCAGGTGAATGGCAGGGAGCGGCGCTGTGCGTGAAGCTGAGTGTGTGTTGGAGCGCACGTGGGACGAGCTACAACCCTTTGCGGTCAATTAGGAGAGACGTGCAGGCGGTGGAGCGTGGAAACCGAGGGGTGGTAAACGGTGGAGGAAGACAACTTCTCCCGTTTCTGTCTCTCGTCTTCTGCAACGTTCCAAGCTTAAACTCTCACTCAGGTTTTCCTCCTGCTGTGAACGGGAACCTGATGACTGCACTTAGACGAACGCCACGCAGCCTTCTTCTCTCGGCACATAAACGACTCCAAACTAATGAAAACGTGCACTTGGAAGCTTTTGTTTCACGTTCACTTGAACTGATATCGCTGCGTAACTCGTCTCGTTCCTTGGAATATCGTCTCTTTTCACACATGCTCGCCACTCGTGACAGTGAGGGCCAATCAAAGGCTGCGATGAAAGCAGCACCAGACCACGGAGGTCTGCAGATGCATCGTTCAGTATTGGGTCAGTGTGCAGAGAGCAGACAAACCCGAGTGGGTACAAACAAACAATCACACCAACGTTGGGTTGATGCAAAGAAACATTCACGGACGCTGAACCTGTGAGCCCAGAAAGATGCTCATTTGGACTCAACTACACGTCCAACTCGTCTCTGCGTCCTGTGTGGGCTTACATGAAGGATCGTTTGAAACACTACGAGTAAAATCTCATTAATCCTTGAGCGGATTAAGTTTCACTGTTTGGAAAAATATTCTGAGGGCTTAAAGTATAACTATTGTAAACAGTGTTTTTAGGTAAAGCCTCGTTTGGGGCCTGCAGGCTGCTGATGTGATGTCACATGACTACATTTCAGACCTCAGTGTTGATCAGGGAGCAGACATGCAGTCTCGCTCCCTAGATTTGATGGTTTTGTTACAGACTTTAAAAACGTGTTTTGCTTTTCTTTCACAAATGTGGGATTAAATTGTGTTAAAATGCACAAAGCAGTGATGTCATGTTTTGTGACGAGGACCCAGGCACAGAGAGACTTGATGGATTTAAGAATCTTATGATTTAATAAAGAAATTTGCAGACTTGCACAGAGAGGGTAAAATTATGATGACTGATAACGGAGACGAAGACAACAGACGACGAGGACAGGGAGGAACAGGGGTTTAAATGCACCAAGGAGACAGACAGAGACAACTCCGGACAACTGGAGACATTTAGGGATGCAGGGACTGACAGAGACGGGGTAGAAGTCTCATCCTGACAAGTAAGTTTATCTGCCTGGCTGGGCAGCTCTCTGGGTGCTCTGTAATTTCCACTGTAATTTAATTTACTTATTGACATTTTTAATCTTCATGTAAACGAGCATAATGCAACGTCACACTGCTGATATCTTCAATGTGGCTATAGCTCAGGTGGCAGAGCAGGTCAGTTACTGAAGGTTGGCGGTTCGATCCCAGTCTGCATGCCAAATAGCTTTGAGCAAGATTCTAACCCCATGTTGCTCTCCGTAGTATCAATGTTAGATACTTAAGTGAATGAATTAGTTGTATGAAGTGCTTTGAGTGATCAGACAGAGTAGAAAAGCGCTATATAAGAACCAGTCCATTTCACTCATCTGCTGATTTATGTGTCCTGATATTTTGTTTCTGTTTCAGGTCGTGGTTCTGAGATTATTAATGGGAAAGAAGTCAAGCCACACTCACTGCCTTACATGGCTTATGTGAGAAGTGTGACTAATTCTTGGTGTGGAGGGACATTAATCCATCCACAGTGGGTGCTGACAGCCGCCCACTGCACTGGGTAAGAATCTGAGACCTTATTTTAAAAATAATGCAGTATTTATTTTCAATGACTATTATTCCTTCAGTAACTACCCAGAGGTCACTGCCCTCACCTGTGGTCACGAGCTCTGGGTAGTTACTGAAAGAATGAGATCAGGGCCAGAGCAGCAGGAATGTGCTGTCTGTAAGCCATGACTGGCCTCTTCTTTAGAGAAATGGTCATTCATCCAGTCATTGGAGAGAAGCTCAGCTGCTTCTCTTCCACAGTCAAAATAATACACACTGCTATAATTATGCATGCAAAGCTCATAAATTTTAATGGAGAGAATGAATATAAAGAATATTTAAAGTTGAATTCTTGTTCATAGATTTATTTGTTTTACAGAGGTGTTCTAGAAAATGTTATTTGTGATGGAATAACAAGGAAAGTACGGAGCCCTGTGAGGGACATGGGAGGAAAATAAATGAAAATAAAATTTTGCGAGATCCTGAGTTACTTTTGTGAGATCTCGGGATCTCTCAAAATCTTAGGCCACATCTTTCGGAGGCCGCCAGAAGGAAGCTGACAGGGAGGTCGAGGCACAGTGTGCCGGGAGTGCGGTATTCTCGCCGTCTCTTGTGGCCTCGACCTCCCAGTCAGCTATCGAGCGCAGCGGGTGGGTAACAGACGACTACGAAAACATCGGAGCACTTTTTACAAATATGTGATGTCTTGATAAACCAATCAGATATTTGAAGTTTACACAGCTACATTTTTGCCTGATATCTTAAAATTTTATTTTGTGACCCAGAAAGAATAATATTAAAACTAAGCAGCTGCCACCATTGTTGGAAACTGGAATTGGCTGGGCTGCGCTATGAATTCTGGGATAGGATGGGCCACAAAGGAGGTCTCGCAAATCTTCATTTTTTTTCCTTCCATGTTTGTTGCGGGGGAAAGAAGTGTTGCACTCACTTAAAATAACACAGAAGCCACAGCTACATACACATCAAACATTTGATACATTTCTTCATCTAAAACATTTTATGTACATTTAAATTTCTTCATTCAGCTGGAAGAGAAAATAACGCAGATTCACCCAAAGCTCAGTAACAGCTATAACCCAGCCATATGTAGTAATACACAATAATAAAGAACTATGATGACTGTTTTAGAAGCCGCTGACCTGTTAACCTTTTAAATATGTAAACCTTCATCACCAGATTGTGTTTTTTCTTTTACAGGAGTTACTGGGTGATGCTGGGAGCCCACTCCAGAACGAAAAACGAACATTCCAAGCAACTCCGAGTCGTCGAGAAAAGTTTTCCTCATCCTGGCTACTGTTGTGCAAAGCACGACAATGACCTCATGTTGCTGAAGGTAAGGTGATATATCAGGGTCTGATGATGATGATGAGATGATGAGATAGCCTTTATTTGTCAGTTGCAGGTCTTTTGCCCACAACCGATACAAACGATGTAAATGGACTGGTTCTTATTTAGCACCTTTCTACTCTACCTGAGCACTCAGAGCGTTATACAACATGGCTTATTCACCCAAACACATCTTTCTGTGCTTAAGTGCTTTCTAACACTCGCACACACTCACACTCTCACGTAGCATCAGAGAGCATCGTGGGGTTCAGTATCTTGACATGCAGACTGGAGAGACCAGGGATCAAACACCAAACCATCCGATTAGTAGATAACCTGCTGTACCTCCTACAGCCAACTCAGGTTTTGCTTACTTAACTAAAACTTAGTTTCATTTTTTAAAATATAAAATGTATTTCCATGTCTTTATAGACATGTTTCAACTCAGCACTGCACATATTTCATATTTTCCAAGCAAAATATTAGAAATAAATGAGTGGTGCTACAACTCTTTAGCAAATATCTGTTTATTTAATGTAGTTAATGTAGAGAGATTCATCACCAATATCTGAGATTCTTTTTAACTTTTTTTCAGCTTAAAGAACCGGTGTTGAAAACCAGGGAAGTGCAGTGGCTCGAGGTTGGCAACACTGTGAGAGACCCGGCAGCTGGCAGCACGTGTCTGGTGGCCGGATGGGGAGAAACTGAAACAAAACAACCATCAGATGTCCTCAAGTCTGTCAATGTGACCGTGGTGGACAGACAGACGTGCAACTCTCGTGATTATTACAACCACGACCCTGTTATCACTGATGACATGATATGTGCTGGTTCAGATGGTACAAACGTCGCTGATACCTGTCAGGTACGTATGAAGAATACATGTATTTTTCCTTGTTTGAGGTAAATGTTCATTCAGCTCAACACCTGAAACACTGTCATGTGTTTGTTCTTGCTGCAGGGGGATTCAGGGGGCCCGCTGTTGTGCGATGGAGCGCTGGTTGGAGTCACTTCTTTTGGAGAGGATTGTGGTGTCATTAAAAAACCTGGAGTCTACTCGTTTATCTCAGGGAGACAGCTGTCCTGGATCAAAACCACGATGAAGTTATTCTAAATGTGTGAAACCACAGCATGATTTGATTTCACAGGTGTCAAACTCCAGGCCTCGAGGGCTGCTGTCCTGCAGGTTTTAGATGTGTCCTTGATCCATCACAGCTGATTTAAATGCCTTAATTACCTCCTCAACATGTTTTGAAGTTCTTATGAAAGGTACTGGTAATGAACTCATCATTTGATTCAGGTGTGTTGACCCAGGGTGAGATTTAAGACCTGCGGGACACCAGCCCTCGAGGCTTGGAGTTCGACACCCCTGCTGTAGACCATTATCCGGTTTATAATTTCATTGCTCCTTTTAAATTTTATGATAGCTTATTTTCTGCTAGCTTGCTGCACTTTTTTTATAGATTCTGCACTTGGCTAGTCTGCTGCATACACAATTGGAAACACAGTTTGGCATTTTACCCTCTTTCACCATACAAACTGTACAGAAACAGGGTTATTTCTAATAATAATTTTTTCAAATAAATTAAAGAATTCCCAAACATAAGTGTTCCTGGTTGTTGCAGTAAAACCAGGGAGAAGCATTTTTTATGTATATACAAAACCAATGAACGTAAAATATTATTGTATTATATCCTACTGTTTTATTGTAGGGTCTACTTTACAATATAAAGCACCTTGAGGTGACTGTTGCTGTGATTTGGTGATGTTTGAATAAAATTTAATTTAATATAATTGAAATTGAAAATAAAAAGTGAGATATTCAGACTGTCAAACAGATTCAACACATCTTATACAACCAACTGAAAATGAGGCTTGTGGACAGTTTTTTTGAAAAAGACATTCTTTACATTCTTATTTGTTCCATTTCACATTATGACTGTGTGCTTGATATACTTGCTACTTTTTTACTTTCTAATAAAGCTGGAGGCATGAATAAATAAAGACACAATTCCTTCTCTTTTTCTTTATTTGTTTGCACTGCAGTTTCAAACTGTACCTTTCAAATGTCATTGTTAAAATGCTTAGAGAGTTTTATTGTCATTGTGCAGTTTCTTGCAAAGTGAAAGTGGGTAGCTGGGCCACAAGGTACAAAAGTAAAGAAGGGAAAACAATATACAATGAGGGGGGGAAATAAATAAAAACCAATATATATGTATACATGTGTGTGAGTGAACTAATATACATGGTGTATACATAGGAAAGATTGAAACAGAAACATAACTACAGTATGCAACTGTACAGAATAGAATAAAATAAAATACTATATACAGTAGAATAAAATAGAATAAAGTATACAATAGGATAAAAATAGAATACAAATTCTGTATACAACTGAGTAAAAATACAACGATGCCAGAAAGGAATATTGCACTTAGTGTTATTGCACATTTATGGATGTGTGTGCTTGATTAGTTGGAGTCTTTGTTGTGGAGTCTGACAGCAGTGGGGAGGAAAGACCTGCGAAATCTCTCCGTCCCACACCGTGGGTGTAGATGATCAATAGCAGCATTAGAGTGGATGTGTTGGAGAAGTCTGCCACCAAGGACTTGTTTAACTTCCTCAGTGCCCTCACCCCCAGTGATGGGCAAGTCTTTCCCCTCATCTTCAGACTCTGCTTCCTCTACAAAAGACATGTCACTGGGATTAAGGAAGTCCTCGAAATACTCCTTCCACCAGCATGCAATATCCTCAGTTCAAATGATCAGCGCTCCACTCACACTATACACAGTGCAGATATATCACTGCTTTCCCCTCTCGAGTTCCCTGATGGTTTGCCAGAATCTCTTCGAGGCAGTCCAAAAGTCTTTTTCCATGGCCTCTTCGAATTCCTCCCACACCCAGGTTTTTGCTTCACCCACTGTACAAGCTGCGTTCCACATGGCCTGTCAGTACATATCTACTGCCTCTGAAATCCCACAGGCTAACTAAGCTTGATAGGACTCCTTGTGCCTGATTCTTCCCTTTACCTCCAGTGTCTACCATCTGGTTCAGGGTTACCACCGCGACAGGCACCAACCACCTTGGTAATGGAGGTGCTAAACTTAGTCCATTCAGACTCAGTGTCCCCAGTATCCATCAGAATGCTGCTGGAGCTCTGCCTGAGGTGGGAGTTGAAGAACTCGCAGATCAGGCATTCCCAGCGCACCCTCCTTATTCGTTTAGGCATGCCATGTCTCCAATTGGGCAAAGCTGTCAAAGACCCTGCAAGTGTCTGGACGGGTATAAACTTAAAAGAAAATAGTTCAGTATCCTCATGTCTGTCAATGTGATCTTGTGCAAAATATATATATATATATATAAAAAACTTTAAACACCCAGCACGCCCCTGCGGGCGGTTTATCCTTCAAGCTCGGGTCCTCTACCAGAGGCCTGGGAGCTTGATATATATATATATATATATATATATATATATATATATATATATATATATATATATATATATATATATATATATATATAGGGTGCAAGATGCTAGCAGGCAAGGCATACATGGAACGCCATAACCAAGTGGCCGGCATAGTGTACAGGAACATCTGTGCCGAGTACAACCTGGAAGTCCCGAGGTCAAAATGGGAGATGCCCCCAAGGGTGGTGGAGAATGACCGAGCTAAGATCCTGTGGGACTTCCAGATACAGACGGACAAAATGATGGTGGCTAACCAACCGGACATAGTGGTGGTAGACAAACAGAAGAAGACGGCCGTAGTGATCGATGTAGCGGTTCCCAATGACAGCAATATCAGGAAGAAGGAACACGAGAAGCTGGAGAAATACCAAGGGCTCAGAGAAGAGCTCGAGAGGATGTGGAGGGTGAAGGTAACGGTGGTCCCCGTGGTAATCGGAGCACTAGGTGCGGTGACTCCCAAGCTAGGCGAGTGGCTCCAGCAGATCCCGGGAATAACATCGGAGATCTCTGTCCAGAAGAGCGCAGTCCTGGGAACAGCTAAGATACTGCGCAGGACCCTCAAGCTCCCAGGCCTCTGGTAGAGGACCCGAGCTTGAAGGATAAACCGCCCGCAGGGGCGTGCTGGGTGTTTTTTTATATATATGGCTCTAATGTATATATATACTGCTGCTATACGTGTATATATATATATATATATACACACAATAAAATTATTATTTTATCTTACTTTATTTTATTTTATTTTTTATTTTTTTTCTACTGTACCATTCTGCTGAGTGACTGTCTTCTGCTCGTGAAATACATTTGATATACCTTTATTAGTCCCACAAGGGGAAATTTCATTGCGATGTTGACCCTGTGCTAACTTGCATATGACAAATAAAACTGAAAACTGAAAACACCTACAGACACCAAGTTATTTTTGCACGATACTCAGCATTTTGCACTTTATCGTTGCACTGCCTTGTCTTGTTTATTTTTGGAATTTTTTGCACATTGCACTTTACATAGTCCTGTGTTTGTCTGTTATATGTTACATCTAGCAGTAGAGGAACGCTGTACCACTGTACATGGTTGAAATGACAATAAAAGTAACTTGAGGAGATGGAGAAAAGCAGCAGAACAGCACAGAGAGGACTGAGAGGCCATGACACAAACCTGGTCTGTAGTGATGGCCACATGAAGCTTTCTGAAGCATTAACGCATCAAAAAAAAGGCTTCATTACTCCAAGCTTTTCAACACAGTCCTCTTTGGGGACATCTGGTGGCCAAAAATATGAAGAGCAGCTTGAATCTACAATTTAAATAAACTGGTTTGTTATTATTGCCCACTCTACAGAGCTCAGTTTATTTAACATCATCTGACAGCTCTGTGTGATATCACGCTGCCATTGTGGTGCTTTGAACAGGTTTTTTGTGGTAGAAATATTGTTACATCCATAATAATAATTTCAATGAATTAACCTTCCTTGTTTAAACATGTGCTATGATGTGTTCTCACTTTGCTTCTGACTTCTTGACATTTGTAAACATAAAAGATGAAAATGCATCATATCTTGTAAAATGCTGCTGCTGTGAGGTCCCGCCTCTATGTGGTATATTTGTATAGCGCTTTACTTAGTCCCTAAGGACCCCAAAGCACTTTACACTACATTCAGTCACGCACACATTCACACACTGGTGATGGCAGCTACATTGTAGCCACAGCCACCCTGGGGCGCACTGACAGAGGCGAGGCTGCCGGACACTGGCGCCACCGGGCCCTCTGCTTTTGATGGAGTAATGAAACAAATCTTGTTGTGTCGGCTATTTTAACATCTTTGGAAAAAAACAAAACAAAACACTAAGCCAGTATTTTGGTAACATGTTGAGTTTCCTGTGGACTGTTATCTTTCAAGGTAAGGCTCACAGTGTTCCTCTGATCACTGTATCAAACACTGATTTCCAATTCTGAGAATCACTCATCTATGAATGCAGCCAGTTTCTTCTATGATTTTCCAAACAAAGACAGTTTTACCAACCTCAGATAAGTTCAAGTTCAGATTTATTTATATAGCACTTTTTAAAGACAACAAGTGTTGAAGAAAGTTCTGTAAAATAAAATAGACAAAGCAGAAGACATAAAAGTATTTTAGGAGAGAATAAAATCATTAAAAGAATAATGGTAACAAAGTCATGATGAATCAAAAGCCAGAGAATAAAAATGGGTCTTTAGACTGATTTAAAAAGTATCCAGTGTTGGGGAGGACCTAATATGCAAAGGCAGTGTATTCCACAGTTTGGGGGCAGTCACAGCAAATGCCTGGTCTCCTCTGTGTTTCAGTCTGGACCTAGGGACAACCAAAAGTATTTGGTCTGCAGACCTCAAGGATCTTCACAAGGGGAGAATACCAGGTTAGGAGATTAGCAAGATACGTAGGGGCTAGTCCATGCAACGTCTTAGAAACAAGTCTTAAGATCTTAAAGTCAATTTGAAAGCTGACTGGCAGCCAGTGTAGTGATGCAAGTATAGGAGAATAATGATCTGATTGCGTGTGCCAGTTAGGAGTCGTGCTGCAGCGTTTTGGACTAGCTACAGTTGGCCATTTGATGAAGAGGTAACACCAGAGTAGAGACTATTACAGTAGATGAGATGAAGGCATGGATTGCT